TAGTTTCAGACAAGAAGTCTAAGCATTATGTAAGTGTGAATTGTAGCATTTAATATATTAATGCACGTCAAAAGCATTTACATTTGCTTTACTTCAAATCATCAACATCCAGAATAATAGGAAACTGTTTATAGAAAATCGTGTTAAAACTACGTAATTTTTCTTCAAAAGATGTAGTTTTATTTGTTTTGTTTATAATGCACTAAACTGTTTTACGATGCTTATGATCAAGCTTATTCATTATTCTGGATTAATGTTAACGTATTGTAGCCTAGACTGAGTCTGTTCTAGGTCTGTCTTAGAAGTCTTTGAAGTTAGTGTATTTCTCTTTATAAATATGTACTTTATTTCATACTTTCTACGTGATGTGCTTTGTAAGCACTGTTAAATATTGAAAGACAGACAAGCACAAACACACAGTGGTGTCATAAGTATATCGGGTGTTTTTCAATTATAAGTTTAATAGTTATATTTGGCAGTTCGACAAGTGTACAGTTTTTCTGATACGTTGCACTTTTTTTTAAATATTATGTTAGGCATTAATTGTTCAGGAAATACTTAATAAACACCCGATAATTTTGATATGGGCTAATATCTAGGAGCTATAGGCACGAGGCTGGGAGGATAGCTAAAGCCCACACAAAGCAAATTAAAAGTAGTTTAGGACGTCGCATCTCTAGGAAACTCAGAGACTTTGACGTGTGTATAAAGTTGTATGTACTAAAGTATTAATCATATTTAACAGGCTAGAGCAACTTCACTGCAGAGCTGTGTTATGGTCATTCGCATAATGCGTGATCTTTGTAACCGTGTACCCACTTGGGGACCATTAAACCCATGGGTTAGTATGGAACAATTTTTTTTATAATGCAAATACGATAATTTAATTAAACAAGTACAAATAAAACGAAATGTCGTAATAATGATACTTTAAAAACTAAATAGTAGTAGTATTAAATAATGACCAAAAGTTCTATTCATTTCACACAAGGCAGAATTTTTAGTATAAATTCTTCCTTGCACTCTGGCAAGTTTCAGTCCCAATTTGCAGCCAGAATATAAGAAATAAATAGAAACAAACAGATGTTTAATCTTTTTTTAGGCACTAGAATTGTTAACTGAAAAAGTGATAAGCACCGCTGGAGGACCTCTCAGTCCAGGTGAAGCTTTAAGAAGACTTCTAGAATGTGTCGCTGGAGGAATATTACTTCCAGGAAGTCCAGGTATGCATCAGTAATATATTATTACTGATTTACTGTATATAACTAATGGTTAACTACTGATTATATTCTAAAACAAAATGATGATCCAGATGACGAGACTGAGCATATTGTGAAATCCATGGTAGATTCTAAGATCGAGTATTTCGATCTTTTTATCTCGATGGAAATTTCGCAGTATTGCGTAGATGATTGGCAATCTGATTTTTATTATATATATTTTTAAAATTCGGTACTGTTTGTATGAAATTATATAATGATTATAAATAATATTCTTCTATAGGATTATCTGATCCATGCGAGAAAGAACCAGTTGATGCAATAGGCAATATGACAGCTCAACAAAGAGAAGATATAACTGCTTCAGCGCAACATGCTTTACGATTGGTTGCATTTCGTCAAATTCATAAAGTTTTGGGCATGGAACAACTTCCGCCACCTAAATATAAGGGCCGATATGCTAGAAAACGAAGACGCGACAACAGTAACGGAGAAGGAACAGATAGTGAGGCTTCAAAGAAAGATAAAAAAACAGAGGAGATCAAAATGGAGACTGACTCCAAGTAGATCTACCAAAATATTCGCTTTATCGGTTTACTCATAACTTATATAGTATAAGAAACAAATTTTTCTCGTGTCAATTGCTTGTTCAATGAGATATGAGTTTCTATACTGGAAAGATATCAAAATTTAAAGCAAGACTAATGATCTATTAATATGGTATTATAATTATTTGAAATGTGGAAATCTCCTTTTGGACAATGGCGCATCGTTTTAATTCTCAATCGTGACTTTAATGGCGATAGAAACTATTGGGTCAGATTACGTCATTATACCTTGACTTTGTTTTTGGATGTATAATAATATCATCGAGTTATCACGTTTCTATTAGTACTAAGTTTAATCTTTTAATGACAAAAAATTGTGCACTGCTCCATTTAAATAGAAACGTAAATGTAAATGAGCAGTTCAATTCTTTTAGCAAGTTCTAAATTCCTTTAAAATAACAAATGCAATATTTCAGATTCCATTTATTAAATTCATTTTATGTAAACATTAGTTTTTTTGTGTTATTATAAAAATAAAAAAGAATGTTACTTTAAGAACCGTTTGCAAATATTTCATTGGGCATTTAAATTTAAACTAGATCTTTCCTAAACAGGCAATTGGTACGATTAGTTCCAGCACTAGGATTTTGTCAAAGAAAATGATGAATGCGTTAATTAGTTTTGAATTACTTATTTAGCTATATTTCACAGTCATGACGTATGGCAAAGACGTTTAAAGGGTTATGAACACAAAAGGGTCATGAACACATTTATAAGTTTTGAAAAGTTAAGAGTAGGTTAGTTTGTATTGAGAATTCGTGTGTAAGTTGTGTGTGTAGTCGTAAAGAAGTGCAGAATGCTTCTCTGCATTAAACAACTCCTAACACCCTATGTTCATATCGCGTGTACTAAATTCACGCAGAAGATTCCAAGAAAGCAGAGTTGAAAATCAATTATTAAAATAGACTTTGTTGTCTAATGAGGGTTATGTACACGTATCAAGAATTCCTAATATTTTGCTGTAGTTTGTTTAAAAATTTCACCGGAAGTCAAATACTATCTCAAAATGTTCATATTTAATAAATTTTTTTCTGATATAGTGTATGAATCTTCTGTTGTACACATGCAAATCCTCTTTGAATAAATTGAACATGCATGAGATAAGAATAAGGTTTTCTTCACTTCCATATTCCTTTGCATTTTATAGTATTGTGTAAGAACTTTTATAAATAAGATGAGCATCGTCGTCTAACAAGAAGGCCACACACACAATAGTACTTCGATTGTATGATTATAATTATTAGCTAATTTTTTACAGAAAAACACTTGACATACAAAGAAAGTTAATTTATTTTTGGATGGCACTGAATAGAACTGAGACTGATATTGTATTAATTTTTTAAATAAAACTGGTAAAATATAGAGAATAAAATTAAAGGAAATGTAACATTTAATTTAAGAAGATAATTTGTATAAGTTATGAACATAATTTCATAACATTCATTCTGTTTGGTGCAACTAGTCTTTACAAATAAGTGTGTTTAACAGTAATTAAATTCCATAACTTCGATTTTTTCCCCTCTTATCATCGTAATTATTTTTGGTCAGACTGAGCTGATGTTTTAAATCAATGTCAAATTCAGCATTAAGCCATTTATATTTTTCCTGTTTTACAGTATTAATTAAAGTATACTTGTATATATTTAAATTATATGAGAGACATGTGTATCTTTAATTTATTATTATTTTCTAAACCAAATATTAATGTAACGTAATGCGCAATACTACAGATGTATTACAAAGAAAATTCACAAACATTTTTTACATTCAGTATTTTAAATCTATAAAAACGTGTGTGCAGAGCCTTTATGAAATTTCAAATATAAATAATGCATATTATCATTTTTAGTATTGAGAATTTAAAAACATACTGAAATTAAGGTGAGAGTTACGTTATATGTATTTTATATATATATATATAAAAGATCATATTAAACGTTCGCTGTGCCATTCTAATTATACTTTACTTTTAAGAACAATTGCGATTTATTTCATATGAGAAAAGCAGTTTCAGTTTTACTATAAACACATTTCGATAATAAAAAGGTAAATATTTACATTATTCTTAGAGTTTTAATCTAAATGTCTGCGTGAGCTTCTCGTTTCTTTCTTTATACTGATTTGTTGTAATCATTGATAAATTATGTAGTTAATTAAAATTGATGTTAATGACGAACTATTAAACTAACATTGTAAATAGTTATCGTAAGTAAACGCTTGTTTTTGAAATTGTCATGTATTTCATGTAAAACAATCATATAAACAAAATTTTAATCTATTATAGTCATGATCCATCTAATTGCTTTTTTTACTCAGGTGTCGGTATCAACAATTGAAAGAGATTAAAATACTGTTTTTATTCAACTTCGCTAAAAATATTTGGTAAGTATCAATGGAATTATTTTGAAAGTAATTAATTATATAATTTTGACACTAAATTATATAACTTATTTTAGTGCCTAATTTTAAATACAATTTAAATACTTCTCGACTATAGTAGTACGTCAGTTTTTTTGCAAAATATATTCTAATTTTCATTAATTCCAAGATTGTTACATCAGTTTTGTACTGAGACGTTGGATGATTCTAGAATTGATATCGTCAGCATGAGTAATAGATTGTTTTGTGTTATAATTTTTATGATTTGAATATTTCTAAATCTGTTTCGTGTAAAAAATAAAAATCAATTTATATTGCTTGATAATGTGTTCAAAATCCTGAGAATAATTTATATGTGGCACGTACGTACGATTTGTGAAATATTTGTTCGTAAAATTAGATCATATATAAATGTAAATCGTACGACAAATTTACTGGAAAATACGTTTCGTAAAACAATGAATCATCATTTTTCTTTGTTTAATAATTTCTCTGTGCGCCCTCTAACTGTATATATAATTATCATAATGTGACAGCTCAAAAAAAAAAGATATAATTAAAAATTCTGGTTTGAGGAACATACTATTTCAAAAGTAATAATGTGCCATAAATGGTTTTGTAGACATCGATAAAATTTGACACAATAATAGCCTTTGTCTCTGAAACCAATTGGACAAAGCAACGTCAGAGATTTGATGATGTTAACGGAATATAATCCAATAAGCATCTTTTTACAGATCGTCAAACATGTTTGCGCATGATCAGTAACACACTATCCCTACCATAAAAGGAACGCTTGCCCTGTACTGACGCAGTTATAGCAAGATATTCAGAGCATCAGAAAGAAGGCTTCTCGAGTACCAATTGAAATTTCTGCTGGGTCACAAATTACATCCACAGAAGGTAAGAATTTTCATACAATGGGTTAATTATCTCTATTTTGAACTTTTTCAATATAAATTGGTAATCCCAGATTCTTGAATTAACTCAAAATTGGACTGTTGGATTAGTTCATTTCTATTTCTCTTTGGTTCCAAATTTGTATGTAATTATAAGTACTTGAGTCGTTAAATACGTTCTTTTGACGAAAATAATAATGCGATCTAATATCATATAATAATATAGGTCGTGAAGGTGTCAATCACAGATGTGAAATTTCAAGTTCATTTCTAAAAGAATTTCGAAAGATCATATTTTCTATATATATATATATTTAAAGCATATATTGTATCTGAAGCACGCAATAGTAAAATTTTTATTTAACTAATTGACTGCTAAGTAAAATCCAACATTTTGAAGAACGTTAGTCAGCGCTTTTGCTGCGTAGTAACAGAAGACAAAATGGCGATTATTGATTCTCCAAAACGATAACGTCTGGTGACGTTATGTGCGTCAACTGTTATATTAGTGAATAATATGCAAAAAAATAAGTAATTAATGTACAAAAATAATTCTCAATTTCAACTCTCACACATAGCACATTATTTTGTTAATAAATATGCATATTGCATCAGCCAATTAATTGCATAAATTATTTTATTTTTTCAAGAGAAAATCATGCAGATCTTCGTCAAAACATTGACAGGCAAAACGATAACCTTGGAGGTTGAAGCATCAGATACAATTGAAAACGTAAAAGCAAAAATTCAAGACAAGGAAGGAATTCCTCCAGATCAACAAAGATTGATATTTGCTGGAAAGCAACTAGAAGACGGACGCACACTTTCCGACTATAACATTCAAAAAGAGTCGACTCTCCATCTTGTACTTCGACTTCGTGGCGGTATGCAAATTTTCGTCAAGACCCTCACAGGTAAAACCATTACGCTTGAAGTTGAGGCTTCTGACACAATTGAGAATGTTAAGGCCAAGATTCAGGATAAAGAAGGCATTCCGCCAGATCAGCAGAGATTGATTTTTGCTGGAAAACAACTCGAAGACGGACGTACTTTATCTGACTATAACATTCAAAAAGAATCAACTTTACACCTTGTACTACGTCTTCGTGGTGGAATGCAAATTTTTGTCAAGACTCTCACTGGTAAAACAATTACTCTCGAAGTTGAGGCTTCTGACACAATTGAGAATGTTAAGGCCAAGATTCAGGATAAAGAAGGCATTCCGCCAGATCAGCAGAGATTGATTTTTGCTGGAAAACAACTCGAAGACGGACGTACTTTATCTGACTATAACATTCAAAAAGAATCAACTTTACACCTTGTACTACGTCTTCGTGGTGGAATGCAAATTTTTGTCAAGACTCTCACTGGTAAAACAATTACTCTCGAAGTTGAGGCCTCTGACACAATTGAGAATGTTAAAGCCAAGATTCAGGATAAAGAAGGCATTCCGCCAGATCAGCAGAGATTGATTTTTGCTGGAAAGCAACTAGAAGACGGACGCACACTTTCCGACTATAACATTCAAAAAGAGTCGACTCTCCATCTTGTACTTCGACTTCGTGGCGGTATGCAAATTTTCGTCAAGACCCTCACAGGTAAAACCATTACGCTTGAAGTTGAGGCTTCTGACACAATTGAGAATGTTAAGGCCAAGATTCAGGATAAAGAAGGCATTCCGCCAGATCAGCAGAGATTGATTTTTGCTGGAAAACAACTCGAAGACGGACGTACTTTATCTGACTATAACATTCAAAAAGAATCAACTTTACACCTTGTACTACGTCTTCGTGGTGGAATGCAAATTTTTGTCAAGACTCTCACTGGTAAAACAATTACTCTCGAAGTTGAGGCCTCTGACACAATTGAAAATGTTAAAGCTAAAATTCAGGATAAAGAAGGCATTCCACCAGATCAGCAGAGATTGATTTTTGCTGGAAAGCAACTTGAAGACGGACGCACACTTTCCGACTATAACATTCAAAAAGAATCAACTCTGCATCTTGTACTTCGACTTCGTGGCGGTATGCAAATTTTCGTCAAGACTCTCACAGGTAAAACAATTACTCTTGAAGTTGAGGCCTCCGATACTATTGAAAACGTTAAAGCCAAAATTCAGGATAAAGAAGGCATTCCACCAGATCAGCAGAGGTTGATCTTCGCCGGCAAACAGTTGGAAGATGGACGTACCTTATCTGACTACAATATTCAAAAAGAATCAACGCTTCATCTTGTACTTCGTCTCCGTGGTGGTATGCAAATTTTTGTAAAAACCCTTACTGGAAAGACTATTACTTTGGAGGTTGAAGCGTCTGATACCATTGAAAATGTCAAAGCAAAAATTCAGGATAAAGAGGGAATTCCTCCAGACCAGCAAAGATTGATCTTCGCCGGCAAACAGTTGGAAGATGGACGTACACTTTCTGATTATAATATTCAAAAGGAGTCAACTCTACATCTTGTTCTGCGTTTGCGAGGAGGAATGCAAATTTTCGTCAAGACCCTCACAGGTAAAACCATTACGCTTGAAGTTGAGGCTTCTGACACAATTGAGAATGTTAAGGCCAAGATTCAGGATAAAGAAGGCATTCCACCAGATCAGCAGAGGTTGATCTTCGCCGGCAAACAGTTGGAAGATGGACGTACCTTATCTGACTACAATATTCAAAAAGAATCAACGCTTCATCTTGTACTTCGTCTCCGTGGTGGTATGCAAATTTTTGTAAAAACTCTTACTGGAAAGACTATTACTTTGGAGGTTGAAGCGTCTGATACCATTGAAAATGTCAAAGCAAAAATTCAGGATAAGGAGGGTATTCCTCCAGACCAGCAAAGATTGATCTTCGCCGGCAAACAGTTGGAAGATGGACGAACACTTTCTGATTATAATATTCAAAAGGAGTCAACTCTACATCTTGTTCTGCGTTTGCGAGGAGGAATGCAAATTTTCGTCAAGACCCTTACAGGTAAAACCATTACGCTTGAAGTTGAGGCTTCTGACACAATTGAGAATGTTAAGGCCAAGATTCAGGATAAAGAAGGCATTCCACCAGATCAGCAGAGGTTGATCTTCGCCGGCAAACAGTTGGAAGATGGACGTACCTTATCTGACTACAATATTCAAAAAGAATCAACTCTGCATCTTGTTCTTCGTTTGCGGGGAGGAATGCAGATTTTCGTCAAGACCCTCACAGGTAAAACCATTACCCTTGAAGTTGAGGCCTCTGACACAATTGAGAACGTCAAAGCCAAAATTCAGGATAAAGAAGGTATTCCACCAGATCAACAGAGATTGATTTTTGCTGGAAAACAATTGGAGGATGATCGTACATTGTCTGATTATAATATCCAGAAGGAGTCAACTCTTCATCTTGTTCTTCGTTTGAGAGGAGGAATGCAAATTTTCGTTAAAACTCTCACAGGTAAAACCATTACCCTTGAAGTCGAAGCTTCAGATACTATTGAAAATGTCAAAGCCAAAATTCAAGACAAAGAAGGAATTCCTCCAGACCAACAGAGATTGATTTTCGCTGGCAAGCAATTAGAAGACGGACGCACACTTTCCGATTATAATATTCAAAAAGAATCGACTCTTCACCTTGTACTTCGTCTCCGAGGTGGTCAATGATTCCATACATCTATTGATCTCGTTTTAATAAGAAAAACGATATCTACTAAATAGAAATAAATTTTTTTACTTTTATTCGTACTAGCTGCCGAAATAATAAATATATATATATATAATTCTGTTATTGATGTACCCTGATGGCAAATAAAGTAAATAATTTCTGTTTCCTTTTTGTAATTTTCTTTATAGATTAATATTCTTGTAATTTATTTAATAATTAAATTTCTCTTATTTAATATTCTTGTAATTTATGCATATGTAAATAATATATAAATAGATATAATATATAAATATAATAATATTATATAGACGAGTGAAATTTTTTGTATGTAATTAAATTTGTTATTATCCAAAATTTAGCTACCAGTTATATTGTTGGATTGAAAAAGTTAGGAAAAAGTATTATATTCTTTAACCCGGGATTACTCACCTGGGGGTCTAGCGCAGGTACATCCCGGCGACTAGACCCTCACGTGGCTAATCCCGGGTTAACATTGGAAATAGTCTTGCAAGGGTTACAGTATATAAGAAAATTTTAGCTTTTGAATATAATATAGCTTTTAATAATATAGCTTTTGTTCCGACTAAAGGTTCTAGTCACAGACTAGTTATATGACGAAGTATTCATACTTGTGCCTCGTCTGTGCTTAAGCGTAGAGTGCGCTGAAGAACCAGAAATCTTTTTTCCTGGTCGGTATTTCAGCTCTGAGACACGAAGTCCTATTTCATGTCTGTTCTATTCTATCTTTAATCAATGATTAAAGTTATTTCTGATGTCTTCGTAGAGATGTCGCAGCTTTATTGTTTCGTAGTTTTTTAGCGACTACAATCTTTACAAGCGGAAATTTTGAAATTAATGAAATTCTACGAGCATATATAGGAAAATCTATCACAAATTTACTTTCTAAGTAGTAAAATTCTCATATTTTTCGATTTCATGTTATAACTCGCAAAGTGTAAGAGACAAAAAGAGTTTCGGGACGAAAGTTACTTCTTTTAATTGGGACTATTACATAGTAACAGATTTATTTACAATTTTTGTGTAATTTTATTCTTAGCTCGTGCGAAAGTATTTTTATTCATGGAAATTCAAACGTGTGCTAGAAACATTTGAAAATTTTCATTTTCATGACTAAATCTACGATTCCGAATTTTGTAGTATTTTTTATCCTATCATTTTGTATATAATATTTGAATTATCCAGGAAATCCTAAAAAATTCAATCCTGACATTCAAAAATCAATGAAACGACGAAAAAATGTCGTCGAGGGATTATTGCGAAGATCACGGTGGAAACAATTTTTCAACGTTTTCAGAGACGTTTGAATTTTTACAATTTTCGAGAATTTCAAGAATATCCTGACTTTCTCAGCCGATACATGACGTAAAAATATTTTCGAATATGAACGAAAAAAAGAAAGAAGAAACGAACTCAAAATTGTTAAACTTCGCGCTTTAAAATGAAACCAAGCGGATTCTTGTACGATTTTTTTCTTTTTTTCGCGGCAGTTTAATGTATCGACAATTTTTTTTTTTTCATCGAGTGTACGAACAATTTCCGCGACTGACTGTAAGCCGTTCATAATATCCGAGCGAGAATAAACACATTATTCGTACGTGTCGTTGTATTTCGTATAAATTGAAGGGAATTGAACGGGGCGATGCGTAATGGTCAGTGGCACTGGCGACGTACAGTCAGTCTACAATTATTTATACTTCAGCTGGTTGGATGCACGCGCCAAGCAATTCGATTAAAATTTTCACGCGCTGACGAGACACGAACGAATTTCCGTGCGTTCCGGAGCCACCGTCCGGTAGTTCAATATCATCGAATTACGAAAATTACCGTTCAATTCTGTTGTACTTAAAATCTTTATACGCGAGAATACCACGGATCTCCAATATTGCCCGCGATATATAGATGTCTATTATTAACGTGCTGTTTTAAGGGGGCACTCTCCCGTGAACGTTGCAAAATCGAACAATTTTCACGAATGTTTCCTTTTTTTTCCACAGTGACATAAAGTTACTTTTTAATTGATTGATTCTTGCTGTTTAAAAATCGTATCTCTCTAAGAAGATTCTTAGATTATTTTCATCATTATTGTCCATACCAAAATTGTAGTTTTATATTTACTCTACCGTGTGTTTTTGGACTAGAAAATTAACGAAATTTCTTAATATTATATTATATTATATTCTTTATATTATATTTCTATAAATTTCGTTGCATATAATTTTTTTTTATATCTAGAATCAACTCTCTTGTATTTTACGATAATCCAGATCGTTTTTTATTCATTTTATACTTTCCATTATATATTTATACTGTTACATATTTATTGTATGACTCTCGTCTTTGAGCTTAATTGTGAAAATGTCGTTTAATACACCTAGAGCACTAGGTGACGCGTAAATATGATATAACGTTCAATTAAAACTTTAACGTAACTCGATTTTGGATAAGTGGCAGAGCGAAATGAATTTTTCGTACTCTCCTGGCACTAATTATCATTCGAACCACCGCCTTTCACCGCGTAATCGTGTTAAGTCGTTTCTCAGCTCTCCGTTCTAATTAATTTTGCTCGTTTCGAGTCCAGTCCCGGGAATAACACTTTCGGTGGGTCTAATTGTTAGTAACTATAATTTTCGTTACAAAGAGTGCGTTCTCTCTTTTTCGGGCCGTAACGTGTATGGTACAAATGTATGAAATACATTTCAACGGAGACTTTTTTCATCTGCTATAATATCCACGCATAAATCACAACACAATATGTATATCTCAAACAAGGATATATTTATTTAAATAACTTCAGTCGTAGATCCTAAAAGATATAAAAACATAATGTAATATCAGTAGATATTATAATAGATGTATTGTATATAATATAATATAATATACAATTAAATTATACGCTACTGTAAGTGTCAAGGAAAAAGTATCTCGTGATTTTAGCGTAATTTATATCGCGATGAAACGTGTAATTAACTTTCGCGCTGGCCGGATTAAAATTTTGATTAAATCGTATCGTCCGTGCAATTAACGGGAAGGTTACTAGCATTTCGCTAGTAAAACGTTGTTAGATAAGTTCATTTGTAACTACAAATCACTTTGTTTGATAAATTACGAACCGGAATGAAGATTAGTTCTAACGGAGATATTAACTGGCAATTGAACTGAATATTTAACTTCCAGAAATAAAAAGTTTTTGGTGAAAATGAAGTCTTCTTTTTATTGAAATGGTGACGTAAGAAAGTTTTTTTTTATATATTTCAAATATATTTATATTTTACATATTTTATATATATATTCTAGCGAGTTTAGTTTCCAATCAAACGCAAGTATTCAAAAAGATGATGCTAAATCATTTCAAGAAATAAAACGTTATTTATCTAGCAAATCACATCAATATTTTCGTAATTCACATTACATTAATATACTTTATAATATAGTTTATAATTCATCTATCTTTTTAAACTCTTGAATTCATCTACAATTTTAAATTCTTAGAAAATAGCACTCCCGTAAATTTATCACACGAAAGAATCCATTTTGAAAAAACATGATTCTCGAATCATCATTAAAAGTGCCTCTCGATTCTTTCAATCGATCGGAAATCACGTTACTTCTCAGATCTCACGTCTCTAAATTCAGCAACAAAAGTAACACGTAATCCAGCGTGTAACACTCTGATAATTCGTTTTCACATTTCCCCCTGACAATAACTTAACAACGTCACTTGAAAATGATCCATTCTCAGGTGGGATCCCGTCCCTGAACTGAATCGCTCCAACTCGCACGGAACTTATGACTTATCGTTGCCAACAGGTCTCTTATCTACGAGGAGAAAGATCGCGAGAGGAAGAAGAGGAAGGAGGACGAGAAGGAGGAGAGAGGCTCCACCGAAAGATCCTCGATAATATCCTGCAACGGTTCGGCCGCCGCGAGGACACGGGGAGCACGGCGTGTCTCACGAGCGGAGCGTGTATCGCGTGTGTTGCCTAATGGTGGAAGGAAACGTTATCCAGAGGCGGGCAATGGACGGGCATTACTGTACCGGCGTAGCCCTGGTAGGGCCGAGAGAAGTCAGCCTCCGGGATATGGACTCGTACTCAGTCTTCCAACTGGTCTCGTACCGCGCTGCTCTATGCAGCGTGTCACACAGCCCCGCGAACAGCGGCAGCTTAGTTAACAACACTACGGAGCTCTGCCGCTCCGTATCGCGTCGTCGTCTACGTCGTTGTCGTCGTCGTTGTCGTCGTCGTCGATCGTAGTTGTCCGATCGCCTGGATCGGACCACCTTCCTTGGTTGTTCATCGGTTCACTTCGCCCAGTGTGTCGTGCACGATTCTCCTCCGCGAGAGTTTGTCCTAGCATCGGTCTGGATTCGTCTGGAATCACCGGGGAATTCCTCTGGTCGCTTCCGAGCGGAATTATTGGCAGATCTTCCTCGATCTTGGTACCGAAATTCGAGCTTCCACGTCTCTCGGAATTCTCGCGGAATTTTTATTTAAAATTTTTTTACCTGATAATTTATTACGAGACAGTTACGAGAAGAGCATTCCAATCGAATTCTCGAGCAACACTCGAACGCGGGACTTTCGATTCGATTATCCGTCGAACTCGCGAGATTTTCCAGATTCAGTTTTCCGCTCGACTCGATGGAATTCTAGCGAGATTCTCATCGTGTTCTCGGACGACTTCTCTCGTTTTTAAAAATTTTCTTCCTTTCTAAATTTTTATCTTGCAAACTGCCCCGAAAATTTCAATCGAATTCACGCGCAGAACTTTCACGAACGTTCCGTTAATTCTCGTTCAACACTCGGTCAAATATTTCCCTGTCGAACACGCGGAGAACGCTCGTGGAATTTCCCTTTATAGTTACATTCGCGTTTAATTCTCACTGCCGTCGGATTTTCGCGCCGCGGAACTCTCCGTTGAATTCTCGAGACTCACTTTCGAAACTCCGCCGAAAATTCTCGAGTTCTTCTCTCGTGTGCAGCCGGAATTCTCGCCGAGACACTCTTCGCTGCCAAGGGAACTTTCTTCGAGATTCTTCTTAGCGAAATCGGCCGATGGATCCCTAAGATTCGATTCGAGTCAAGTTTGGCTGAAAGAATACGTGTTATCGTTCGAGAGGGATTGCAAGTGCACGCGCGCGTACGC